TAGGGCAGCAGCTATCCACATTTCTTAAATTTTATTGAACTCTTTTCATAGTTTTGAGGTTATTCTTAGCCTAAGCCAGGTAATGGCCCGGGTATTTCAAAGCATTTTTACAATTCTATATGGGACGCTGGGCCCGGTTCCCAGCACGTGCTGCTCCCCACGAATAGATCGGAGCATTTAAAAAAAAAAAAAAAAAAAGGATTGTGCCCACAACTTTATATGCAAGAAACAAAAGAGAAAAAAAAGACTGTTGAATTCTGTCAGATGAAGATGTATTGGCAGCGGCAATGCCACCATTGCATGCAGGGTTGTCACGCGGGGATCCCCTTTTGGAAACCGAGGTCCCCAACCCCGCCTCTGGATCCCCGGCCTGGGGGTGGCCGACCATCGGGCCGGGGACTGGCGACCCCTGGCCCCCGTCACCGCTCCCCACCCCTGCAGCTCCACCCTTGGACCCCGACCCCACCCTCCGCCCCCACAGCCCCACCCCCGCCACCGAACTCCAGCACCCCAACCACCGACCCCGCACCCGGAACTCTGACCCGGGCTGAAGGTCCAGAAGTTAGACCAGACCGTCGTGAGCAAGATAGCGGATAATAGGGAAATGGTAGTAGATAGTTATGTTGAAGGGGTTAGGGCATACTTCCGGTTGGAGGCAGGGGGAAAGGTAGAACGTGTTTTGCACTCCCGAACACTCTCAGTGGAGGACAGTCTCCCTTTTGACATGATCTTAGGGACTGATTGGGGTGAGGCCACCGATGCAGATGTGAAACTAGGTTAGCATGAGTGTTGTTTGCCTAGGCCTGCAGGTGGAAAGAAGAAAATCCAACTTTATCATGCGTCTGGCGTAGAGAACAGCCTATCCCTTTGTTGCATGAGTGCCCCCGCGTTCGCCCGGCGGGTGGTCAAGAATGACCTCATCAACCAAGTGTTTGTTGCGTATGTGCGCCCGCCGAGTGAAAGTGAGAAAGAGGAAGAACCCATTCCCCCCAATGTGCAGAAGTTGCTCGTTGAGTTCGCTGATGTTGGAGAGGCCCCAAGTGGAATAGTTGAGAGGGAGACCAAGCACCGGATAGACTTGGAACCTGGAAGCAGGATTCCCAAGGGCCCCATCTATAGGATGTCTCCGAAAGAGCTTGACGAATTGCGAAAGCAGTTGGATGAGTTGATCGAGAAGGGGTGGATCAGGCCAAGCTCCTCACCGTTCGGTGCACCAGTTCTGTTTGTGCCAAAGAAGGGCGGTGAACTGCGTACCCTGGTGTATGAATGAGCTCTTTCATGATTGGCTTGATAAATTTGTCGTGGTTTATTTGGACGATATACTGATTTTTAGTAAAAATTTGAGTGAACACGGGGAGCACCTTCGGTTGGTGCTAAATAAGCTACGTGAAGCGAAATTCAAGTTGAACCCCAAGAAGTGTGAGTGGGCAAAGCGTCAGGGTTCTGTACTTGGGACATATGGTAGCTGGTGATGGAATCAAGCCGGAGGACGCTAAGATTGCAGCCATTAGAGATTGGCCTAACCCGCGCACGTTGACGGAACGGCGTTCGTTCCTTGGTCTGGCCAACTATTACTGCAAGTTCGTTCGGAACTTTATGGTAACCGCTGGCCCATTGCGCAGATTGTTGAAGAAAGAAACTATCTGGAAATGGAATCAGAATTGTACTGCATCCTTAAAGCGTCAAAAAAAGTGTCTGATTAATTACCCGGTGCTGAAAGTCACAGACCCATCTCTGCCCCCTATCATAACCATTGACGCCAGTCAATACGAGATCGGTGTTGTACTCCAGCAAGACAATGGGAATGGGTACAGACCTGTGGAATTTATGTCTTGTAGACTGCCTAGTGAAAAGGTCGCCGCTTCCACCTATGCGTGAGAGTCGTTTGCTCTGCGGGAAGCATTGAATCACTGGAGACGCTATCTGCTAGGACGCCACTTTAAGGTCTATTCTGATCACGAGACACTTCGCTGGTTAAAAACCCAGGCTCGGATGACACCTAAATTGACTAGGTGGGTCGGGGAAATTGATCAGTTTGACTTTGAATTGAAGCCAGTAAAGGGGAAGTACAATGTCGTCGTCAATGCGTTGAGTAGAAGAGACGACTTTTTCGATGTTATTGTCACATATCTAAATGCAAGCACCGAACTGCAATAGAAAATTAAGTCTGCCTATGCGAGTGATCCAGTCTATAGCCAACTAATTGGCAGTGCAAACAGCACCACACAAAGTCCTAGACTATAGGGTGACACAGGGACTGTTGTTTGAGAAGACAGACATCCATAACCGACTATGCGTCCCGAACAGCGAGGAAATTCGTAGCACGATACTTGGGAAAATCACGATATTGACGGGCACTTCGGATGGAGGAAGACTTATGCTAACCTCCTACGCTCCTAAGGAAGCATGACTGCATTTCCTACGTGCAAGGTTGTCAGGTATGTCAAAGGAACAAGAGCTCCACACAGCCTCCCCTTGGATTACTGAGACCGCTGCCTATTCCGTCGGGACCCGGGGACTCCGTGTCTGTAGACTTTATGGACACTAAGATAAAAAGCAGAAATGGCAAGAGTCAAGCTATGGTGGTGGTAGATCAGTTTAGCAAGTTTTCTGTGCTTGTTCCACTCCCTGCGGAAGCAAGAACTGATTTAGTGATTAGGGGATTCTTTAATCACTGGGTGAAGGATTTTGGGCATCCCTCGACTGTTGTAAGTGACAGGGATTCGCGGTTCACAGGTGAAAAATGGCAACAACTGATGAAGGTATATGGTTCCAAATTGGTTATGTCTTCAGGTCGACACCCTGAGATAAATGGACAGACCAAGCAGATGAACAAGCTGCTGCAGCAAGTGATGCACAAGTACATCCGGCCAGATCAGATTGACTGGGACGGACATCTGTCGAAAGTTGCAAGTGCCTACAATAACTTTGTGCACCTAGTTACGTCTAGAACACCCACTGAACTGCATGGCGCCCTCGTAGACCCATTGACTGTCTAAACCCTGATCAAGTGCAGAGACTTCCACCAGGAACCAGGGAATTCGCTATTCAGTATCAGAAAGACCTGGAAAAAGTTAAAGAGAACATTAGTAAGGCACAGCGTCAGATGATAGAACAGGCAAATAAGCACCACAGGCCTTTACAAGTTGCTGTAGGAGACTTGGTCTGGGTAAAGTCAAAATAATTTCTCCCTGAGGAGAACATTTCCCAGAAATTGTTGCCTGCTTATAGGGGACCGTGGCAGATTCTTGATGTGATTGGTGATGTGGATGGTCCTTCATACGTTGTTGAGATTACTCCACACTTGCACACGTATGCGGTGTTGCACGCTTCAAAGTTACTTCCTTGCGTTAGTAATGACATGTTTCCATCGCGCAGATCTATGATTCCCCCTGATATGGATGGTAAGTACGATGTGGATAGGATTGTTGGGGAAGATGTTTACAGATCTGGACGCAGGGGTGGGCCAGGGCGATAATATAAGGTTAAATTTGCCTATCAAGGACCTTTACAAGAGATGAACTAGTTCAGACGGCACCACATATTTTGTCTTATTATGAGAGAGCTAAGAGAGGAATTAGCATAATTGACAGATAAAGTTAATAACTTTCTCAGAGGACCTCGAAATTAGGCTGGCGATGGTGAAAGGCCTTCCACGATTCAGACCCCAAATTCGAGTTTCAGGGTCAGAGGCCTGGGCCAAGAAAGGCCAAGACGGTCAGTTTCAGAAAAGTCACAGTCGGGTACCTTAGCAATCAAGTCCAACAGGTATCCGGCAAACAGTCACATCCCAGGGGCAAAAATCACGCCTCATAATGCAAAGTCATATTGGAAAGTCACATCTCACGGGAAAAGACACTTCCACAGGCAAAAGTCGTGTCCTAGAGGCAGGAGTCACAAACCATAGTCGAAAGCCATGCGCCATAATCGAAAAGCCATGACTCACAGGCCCAAGCAGCAGCACACCAATGGAAATTTGGTGAAGGTACCAGGCCCTGACATTCGAAAGCAAACAGGCCGTGGGGATATGGTACCGAAACCAAGTCAAGCCCCAAGAGGCAGAGGCTGGCACGAGTTGAAGTTCGGTCCAAGACAATATAAGGACTGGCCAGCCTCCTCATTCGGCAGATTGCTCATTCGCATGGTGTCGAACTGCTGGTGCGCTTGTGCGCTATTGTGAGGGGCGAAGCGCTGAGCCAGGGAGCTGCGCTAGTAGAGGGAGAGAGAGGGAGCAGCGATAGCTGCCCAACGCAGGCAGTGGGAGGCAGCCATGTCTGCACCAGTGCTAGGAGTTAGTAGTAGACCTCAGGGGGCTTAGTAGAGTTAGCAGTGGGTGTATTCATAGTTGGTCCTTGAGTAGTAGAAGGTGTGAGTGCATGCAAGTAGGGAGAGAAGACACAGGGAGGTAGTAGACAGAGAGAAGGCCGAGAGAAAAGAGAGAAGAGCTTCAAGAAAGATACTTACCTGAGTGGAGATACTGGATACTTGGGTTTGCGCTGTTGAGCGCCTGTGACTGAAACTGTTAATTGCTTGTATAATAATTTGTTGGAACTCTAAAGCTGCGCTTACTTTGTCTTCGTTTCTCTGGCCTCCAGTATGAACTTCGTGTGAACTCTTTCGTGCATGGTGTGTGATTGTGTGCACTCATTGGTGGTGAACTGAGAGGTTTGTTACACTATCTAACAATCAATCCTCCCTCAAGGGAGTAATCGAACCTGGCCAGGGTTCCTTCGGCCTGGACAAACGGAAGTGCGAGTGGATAAATATTATGTACCTCCTGATTCAACTTGCTGGTGGAGAGGAAAGACTGGCACGCCCGAGAGTGTACAAGGAGCCAGGACCATAATACCCTATTTTGAATTTACAAGAGAGAGAGAGAGAGAGAGAGAGAGAGAGAGAGAGAGAGAGAGAGAGAGAGAGAGAGAGAGAGAGAGAGAGAGCCCGCACCAAAAAATAAAAACAAATTATTTTTAAGTTAGAAAAGCAGAAAACGTACACACCTGCAGATGTGATGGGCACGTCACTCCCTCCAGCTTCTGCAGGTCCCTGATATGCAGCCGCTCATGGTCCTCGCGGTAGGCTTGGAAGAATGCTCGTGCTGGATGAAGTTACAAAATTTTGCACGGTTAAGGAGAAAAATAACAAAGCAGACAGACCCTCTGCAATGAACCCAGATCGCGAAGACAGTCGTCAACAATGCAAGCCCAGATAAATGTCAACCAGCTGATGATTACCAATAGTCAAGATCGTGTCCAGACAGAATGAGACGCGATAATCATACACAGACGAAGGAGAGAGGAGGGAGATAAGATCAAGGAGAGGAAATAGATACAAGGCCCACTCCTGCTTCGGGCTCCCTCCTCAATCGCCACCGCAATAATCAATAGTCTGAACGAGTATCTGAAGTAATCTCAATTTGCCACGTGACACGTCTAGTCAGTCCCTCATCAGCGCTGGAGCAATGTCGACATGAAGACAACCAGGTACGTATCCACAATCTCTCCACAGTCCCGATCTCTTCCCGAATGACGGTAATCAGAACAGCAATACAAGTCACGTAGCTTCGCCTCATTAGCAAACAGAAGAACGCGTGGCAGCAGCCACATCAGTGACAGCGTATGGTAGCTGCCACGTCAGCATGCCAAGAAGACAGGTGCAAGCCAGCCACCATGCCGGACCAGCAGCACCTCGCCGAATCAAAATGCCAGCGTCGGCCTGAATGCTTGTCTGGGTACCTGCGCACAACAAGTGAGTGTATCCAACCAAGGGCCTGGGCGCGGTACCTTTGACTCTACAGTTGACTTTGACCCTTGACTTTCCTGGGTGCAGCGTTTGGTCACACAGCCAAACGCGACAGACTCAGGCCTGGGCGTGTCCTGGTCAAACAGCCCAGTGCAGACCAACTTTGGTCTGCACTGCCTGGGGCTGAGTTCTGGGCCCCAGACTACTTCTGAACAGGGTTACTGCACCCTCGCTGAATCATCCAAATTCTTCCAACCCAATCACACGACACAGAGCTGCAAGACCACAAGCGGTTAACGGGGACCCCCGCTTTCAGCCCCTTGGTTAACGGGTTTTCTGAAGTTTCTAAAGATTTCTGAAACTGGAATGTTGGCAAAATTTGCATGAAAGTGCACTTTTGCCTTGCTCTTTTACAGACTTTTTTTTTTTTGGGGGGGGGCTTTTTTTTTTTGTCTCCACACTATGAATTGGTGGCAAGTTTGGTTAAACCACCAGTACCTAGCGGTTGTTAAGGCCCGTGGCTCAGCCTACCCGTAACCCGAACCCTGCCGAGCCTCGAGCTACCGATAGGTGCATGAAAAAAAAAAAAAAAAAAAAAAGAGAAAAAAAACAAACAAACAATATTCTTCTAGAAAAGCAAAATGTGAGGATTGAGCCCTCAAGAAGGGGCCTTGCCATGATGTACAGGTTCTGGGCTAAGGCCCCAGCAAGCCTAGTGCCCGCCCTAAGTGAAGGCGGGCCAGCAAATCAACAAGAGCCCTCTGTGCAAACATTTCCTGAAGTGGGGTCCATACAGTTGCAGCACGCCAGTTGGTTGGAGTGCACCGAGTCTCGAATCTCTGCAAATGTAGAGATCCCAGGGCCTCTGAGTTAGTTAGGCCCTGGGCACTTGAACGTGAGGCCGACAATGCATGCTGGGTATAGAGGCCGAAAATGCCAAAGGGAAAATCGGCCCACTATCTGAATCTGGCCGCAGGCCTTGATGAAAGAGGCGCAACTGCATCACCCGGGCCCCAACTGCATCGGGCCTGGGTTCAGGCACTGGGGCCCAGTCGCAGGCTGAAGGGAGGCCGCCCACAC